GGAGATGTGCAATTAACGCCAGAAAAGTAGGTATTCAATGAAGGAGCTAAAATTAAAGATACACCACCCAGTGAATCAGAATTTTGGATTACTGGAACAAGAAGTCGAAATATTGCACGTTAGCATCTTGGAATCACTGCATGCAAGAATCTCTAACATTAATTCCAGATAGAATAGGTACTGAAGACCTGGAACTTATTCCAGATTCAGAGGCAAGCTGTTGCCAAATATGTAATGTAAGTATATTCTAATAAATTCTAAAATCAGTTACCATGCATACATCAAACAAAAACTAACTTGTGTCTATATTCAGGCCGCAATTGTTTGCCGTTCCACAACAAATATTTTACTTTGTTTTTATCGGTTTCCGTGGCATACTACAGTAAACTTGTTTTGTGTGTGTTGGCTCCTTTCCAGCATCTATACCCAGCGATCTTGGAACGGTATATTACTCCCTACAGCATTAAATTCCGAGCCTGACCTATCGCACATATCCATTATCCATCTTTTGTGTAGAATAATCCCCGACATGGGTGATTACGGAACACGTAAAAACGAGCGTAAAATCTTAAAATGAACGTAAACGTGACTTTGATGGACTGTTGTTTACGCCAACTATAGCTACTTATATGGTCCTCTGGATGTTATTTTGAAAGTTGTAAAAATTACATTCAATTCCAATAAATCTAGTTTTAGTTTACAATCAATTATAAATCTGGGGCCTAATTTGCATCCCTTAAACCCAAACAAAAAGGGCCATAATATACATATACCTAATGGATAATAATAACTATTTTAGGAGTTTGTGGTCCCATAGGATGAAATATTGTCCACACAAAGTTAAAACAAATTAGTTTATTGCCGAAGGCCAAATTAATATATTATGTATATGAAAATGGGTATGCTGTAGTTTCATAAATAAATGGTCAAGAAGCTTGTGCTCATTAAAATTTAATATTTAATAACCATTTCAAGCAAACAACTTGTCATTTATAAAGCACATTTACATCATGCCTCAACTTATCAAATTTCTCAAACCAGTTGAATATTTTTCTCATACCTTCTTAATGGTTCCTTATACGTATAAAAATTATAAATTTGAACCATTAAAAATCAATTTTTGGTTCATTCTTCGTGTAATTTGTATCTTACTACTGGTGACTTATATCCCAGTCGTTGATTTTCCTCATTACAGAGACAACTATGCAAATTTAGGCCTCACTTTGAACACGCTACACACAGTTTACTATTTCATGAAACTGCCAGTATTTGTAATGCTTATTTTTCTGGAACATTTCCAAAAAAGTTCTATTGTGGATTTTTTAAATACCGCCATGCAGCTGGATCAGTGCTTCGAAAAAATAACTGGCAACAAATCCGATTATAGAAAATTGAAAAGATTTATTATTGTTTTGGTTGTATTTGGTTGGTTTAATACATTCAATTATGCAGCACTTTTATTGATTGATTATGGTAAGTCATTTTTGTATTTGAAAATAACAAAAACTGTCTATTTTAGATGGCCGTCAATGGAATTATTTAAAAATTGCAAATTTATTGTTACACGTTGCTACATCACAAACTATAGTAGCAGTTGAGCTTCAATGGATCACTTACCAATTTATCCTAAAAGTCCACATTAAGCGCCTGAATAAATATTTGCAAATACTTACCAATTATCCTTTACCTCCCAAAAGAATAATGCTAGACATTTGTTATACTTCATATCGTTTATACGGTAAAATAGTGCAACAAACTAACAATTTAAACACATCATATGGCTGGCAAATGCTCATGATAGTCCCAATGATTATGATGATGCTCATTTACAATACCTACTACATGAGCAAATTTTACATGCAAACTTCTTTGCATATTGTGCACGAGCTACTCACAGAAACAATTTTTTTCTTCTTATTCGTTATTCCTAGCTCAATGACTATGAGAGAGTCGAAAAAATTTGCTTGGATTTTGGGAAATATTGATATCAGGATTCAAGAGGATCCAGTGTTTTATGATATTGTGAGTAGGAATTTGTTTTATTTTTCAAAACTTTATTGGATTATTTTCAGTTAAATTTGCTTTCACTGCAATCGCATCATCATAGAATAAAGTTTTCAGCTGTAGAAGTTTTTTCATTGGACGTTAAACTAGTAACTTTGGTAAAATCAGTTAATGGAAGTTTTTTTCCCAAATAATTTAGTTGTATTTTTTAGGTATTCTCAACATTAACTACTTACTTTGTAATTTTACTCCAAAACTCCTAAAGAATATCACTTCAAATTTCAAAACTTTAATAATAGCTTCTTCATTTAGCTCCTTCAGGTCACAAACTAATTACCGTCATTGTTAATTGTTTACTAAAAGAGATGGAAAGACAATCGAAAAACGTGCCCTCATTTTTTTTTATTGGAATTTTTTAATGCCCTACGAAGTCGGTTCAAAACCCCCTTTGTTGCCTCCCCATGAATATTTTACTACGCTAATTAAAATGCCTTTTTAAAATTGCTTCGTAAAGCTAAAGTAGTTTAAATAAATTATCGTCTCTTACAGCTGAAAGTTGGTAAAGTTATTAACGAGTTATTTTATTAGTATGGACTAGTGGAGAGGAGTATATTCAGAAATTGGAAGGAGGAGAGTAATTTTTAATCTAAATTTGGTCAAAAACTTCAAACTAAATTTGCTCAAAAACTATAAACCTTGGAATATTGTAAATAACAGGCCATTTAGAGCTTAATAAGAGCTACGAATGCAGAAAATTTCAATGCAATTTGCTCAACGGTTTCTGAGCAATTGAGGTTTGAATGTTTTGAAATCAGAATTCAAAAGGGGTAGGTAACCTTATGATTTTTTTATTTTTCAGTTTTGCTCAATTTTGACTTCATGATTCGATAGAGTGGGTCAAACTTAGTGAAAAATAACCCTGACATTATTTTCAAATGGCCATTTTAAATAGGAACAAAAATAAAAAGGAAATCCTAGTTTTGGCTCTGGAAAATTTTCAAAATCTTGACATGGCTATGAGCAATTGCCCCTGTCTAGGTCATATTTTGAGCAAATTGAAATAAATTATATATCACTAGAAAGAGCAATACATTTTCTATAAATCCGTGCAAAATTGAGTTTAATAGCTCAAATAGTTTTTGAGTAATTGAGTCTCAAAGTTGATTTTTGATCCCAATTTTGCCAAAAACTTCAAACTCAATTTGCTCAAAAGCTATAAGCCTGAGAATATTGTAAATTACGGCGTTTTTAGAGCCTATTTAAGAGCTTCAAATGCCAAAAATTTTGATGCAATTTGTTAAATGGATATTGAGCAATTGAGGTTTCAATATTTTGGAATCAGAATTCAGAGGGGGTACTCTTAAGAAAAAGTCGATTTTTTTATTTTTCAGTTTTGCTCAATTTTTACTTTACCATTCGACAGAGTGGGTCAAAATTAGTGAAAAACAACCCTGACATCATTTCCAAATGGCCATTTTAGGCAGAAATAAAAATAAAAAGAAAATCCTATTTCTGGCTCTGGAAAATTTTCAAAATCTTGACATGTCTTGAGCAATTGCCCAAATCTTTGTTAAATTTTGAGCAAATTGAAATAAATTATATACCATTGGGAAGAGCATTTAATTTTCTATAAATCCATGGAAAATTGAGTTTGATAACTTAGAAAGTTTTTGAGTAATTGGACCTCAAAGTTGACTTATAGTCTAAATTTTGTCAAAAACTTCAAACTCAATTTTCTCAGAAACTATAAGCCTGAAAATATTGTAAATTACAGGTCTTTCAGAGCTTGATGAGAGCTACAAAAGCTGAAAATTTCAATGCAATTTGCTCAACGGTTACTGAGCAATTGAGGTTTCAATATTTTGAAATAAGAATTCAGAGGGGGTACTCTTAAGAAAAACTCGATTTTTTTATTTTTCAATTTTGCTCAATTTTGACTTTACGATTCGATAGAGTGGGTCAAAATTAGTGAAAAACAACCCTGACATCATTTCCAAATGGCCATTTTAGGCAGAAATAAAAATAAAAAGAAAATCCTATTTCTGGCTCTGGAAAATTTTCAAAATCTTGACATGTCTTGAGCAATTGCCCAAATCTTTGTTAAATTTTGAGCAAATTGAAATAAATTATATACCATTGGGAAGAGCATTCAATTCCCTATAAATCCATGCAAAATTGAGTTTGATAACTCAGAAAGTTTCTGAGTAATTGAACCTCAAAGTTGAGTTTTAGTCTAAATTTTGTCAAAAACTTCAAACTCAATTTTCTCAAAAACTATAAGCCTGGAAATATGTAAATTACAGGTCTTTCAGAGCTTGATGAGAGTTACAAATGCTAAAAATGTCAATGCAATTTGTTCAACGGTAACCGAGCAATTGAGATTTGAATATTTTGAAAACAGAATTCAAAGGGGGTATGAAAAACTCGATTTTTCCATATTTCTCAGTTTTGCTCAATTTGACTTTATAGAGCGGGTCAAAATTAGTGTAAAACAATCCTGACATTATTTCCAAATGGCCATTTTAAGCAGAAACAAAAATAAAAAGAAAATCCTATTTTTGGCTCTGGCAAATTTTCAAAACTTGACATGGTCATGAGCAATTGCCCATATTTTTGTTATATTTTGAGCAAATTGAAATAAATTATATATCATTGGAAAGAGCAATAAATTCTCTATAAATTTAGTTTAATAGCTCAAATAGTTTCCGAGTAATTGAGCCTCAAAATTGATTTTCAGTCCAAATTTTGCCAAAAACTTCAAACTCAATTTGCTTAAAAATTATAAACCTGGGAATATTGTTAATTACAGGTGCTTTAGAGCTTGATAAAAGCTACAAAAGCTGAAAATTTTGATGCAATTTGCTCAGCAATTGAGGTTTGAGTATTTTGAAATCAAAATTCAATTCCTGCTTGTGATGCTATGTTCCAGCATCATCATGCTTCAAATCCCAACCCAGTAATACGTATTATTTTCGAGATACATGGATTATTAATATGGTTTTTAAGTTCACACTTTGGCAATACGTGGGAAACATGAAGTTCCCTGCTTGTGTTACTATGGTCCTGCCTCATACTGCTTCAATTTTAACCCCAGCAGCACCTTATATTTTTGAGATATACCACTGAGCATTACAAGAATCTAGTCTATAATAGTAGGTAGTCGTAAGTAAAATAGCTATTGAAAGCATCAAAAAATTGAAAAATTCCATCATAGCTGTATGGTTAACTTCCCAAATAAGCTTTGTTTATGTGGTAAACTAAATTTTATAGTTGCATATAAACCTATATATCTAATATTACAAAATAAGTTTATATTCTGCATATATACACGGAACAATAAATCCGCTATTAAAACCGTATAATAACGTTAACTCGAACTGTTTTATGTCTCAATAAAGTTGCGGGTTTGACTATCCAAATCTCGGTAATTGAGAATGAGCCACTCTAATTTGATTAAGTGCAATGAAAAGGCCTTTTCCACCAACTAACAGTATCATGATTACTAAAATTTGTTTAACGATTGTTGTATTATGGCTTGTAATTTCAGTAAGTAAGTACGCCACATTATGTTTCCTTTTTTTTGAAAACAGTCCAGCACAAAACATAAACCGCAAAATTGATTTTACACTCAACTGAACAATTTTTCTTAAAATCTATTGAAACTTTCTAATAAACAAATAAAATTGAAAGTTTATAAGTTTTTTTTTGGTGTAAAATAAAACATATAAAATCAAATGGTTTAGGATTTGAACTACAATTACCAATTGATATCTCTAAGACTGACTAAATGAATTTCAGTGCAATTGTAAGTACCTATATACCTAATACAAAATGTGTTTCAATACTAAACTAATTTTCTTTAGTTTCAAGTTGCCTTATTGGTAATTTCCATGGTACTTTCTGCATTAGCCATGCCACAATATTTTGAAGCAGGTAAGTCTTTTATTAATTAATAATTTCCGCCTAATATAATTTGTTTATTAGATGACTTATCGGCTGAACCAAGTGAAATAAGGGACAAAAGAGAACACGGACACGGCATAACAGGCCCAGTACACACTTTCGTAAAAACCGACAAACATGCCAATTTTAAATGGGGCGTGAGACACCATGTCGGACATCATTATGCTGGTAGAAAATAGTTTTATTGTTAATTTTTATATGGAATAAAGTATAATAAATCCACTTTCAAACTATAGAGGGGCTTTTAAAGGGAGGCAAAACACGTCAAAGTAGTTTGCAAAGATATCAGCACATAATCTGGTTATTTTGCCAGGATCACGTCAGTTTGGGTCTGGAATTTTGTTGAGTACGGTAAACTCCTACAAGACATTACAAAGTTTGGACGATCTTATTTAAAATAATAATTTTTCAATTTATTCTCAAAACTCAAAGCTTGAAGTGAAGAAATTTTTTAATACTTCCATATGTCTTTTTCTCTTTCTTCTTTAAGCTGTTATCATTTATTATTGAATTGAATTTGAGCAGTCTTATTTTCTTTCTGGTCAGAGAGTGCTAATTTTCAGCATTATCCGCTCCATCGTCGACTGTTGGAAATTGATTCTTTCTAAATCTTCAAACTGGAATTGTTCTCTCTCACCTGTACTGTAAATATCAGAAAGAAAAGTCTTCTTAACGGTACTAGTTTCAAATTCGAGAATTTGGAAAACGCACAGTGATTCAATAAAGCCACGCGCCTTGCAAAATAAAAGACATAAAATCCATTTGTTCCCATTTTTCTTTCTAAACTAATAAAATCCGTTTTGCCTTCCAAGCATTAAAAGGCGTCGAAAACACCGAAATCCGGGGTGCTATTTTTTGGCCCATTTGACAATTAAACTTTTACCTTAATAAAGGTTGGGACAATTCCGGGACGAGAACAACAATAAAAGGGCTGAAGTGAAAGAATGGAGGCGAGCAGGAGGTCCCCCCGCCCCAATTAGCATTCTAACTGCCTAATTTAGAGGAATAAATTGAAAATATTTATGAAGGCTAGGGAAATCTTAGTTGACTTTTTGGCAATTACATAATCTTTGCATTTCTATAAGGAAAACTTTGAGTGGAAATTCCCAGAGCTGAACCCCTTTTCCAGGACGTGACGTTTTTAGGCGATTTTATTGCTTTTCTTTTACAATTTACATACTTTTACACTGGATAATTCCACAGATTTTGAGTTGAAAAGAACATACTCCCTAAAATATTTTTTATCCTAGTGAGGAAAACCACCTATTTAAAATATTATTAATTTCTTAAAATCTTAACTTTTTAAAAAAACGTTTACTGAATAAAAGTAAATGTTGCAACCATATATGCGCCCTCAAGTTTAGGATTGAACGAGCGCGCCACAGAAAACGAAGGTACCGAAACCGAAGAGGATACAAGAAAATACGCAACTAGACTACAGAACGAGCTGAACTGGTCCCTTAGAAAACGTGTCGCGTGTCTGTAATTATTCATTATTCAATTTTTATTTCTATTTTGCGTTCAATCCAATTTGTTATTAGTAGAGTCCGGATTAAAAAGCATAAAAAAAGTTGAAATAAGCGCTTAAAAAGCATATAATTTTCCACAGAAAAAGCATGGAATATGCATGAACAAGGCAAAAAAAGCAAAAAAAGTGAAATTAAAATTTATTGTTTATCTATAAAATACCTACATAATAAAAAATATAATAGGCAAACATTGAAATAAAGTCTCTAATGAATAAAAAAAAAATAGTTTTTGTAGAAACAAGCAATAACTAAATGCTGACTTAAATTTTCCATAGCAAAGTTCTCTGTCACTTAAGAAGTTTTTGTAGTCGGAAAAACTTCTTTCTACGTCGACACTTGTTATGGGCGCATATTTAAATTTTGTCACCACATTTGGGTTCATTTGTAACTCTTAGGGTCGGTTTCTCAATAGCGAGTCACCTCCGGGTTGGTTTTAACTCCAAGGTAAACGTGCCCAAATGGAATGTTCACTCTGGAAATATGCTTAACCCGGGGATGACTTGATATTGAGAAACCGGCCTTAATTCAGTACTTCCTACCTGCAACTAACCATCTACTTTTGGGTTGGGGTTTCACGTGTATTATCGATTTTTGAAAGAAAAAATATAGCGGGCAAAACTTGCGAGACAGAAGGTTTGTTCATTTGCGATATTGATATACTTTTGCAGTACAAAAAATCTAAAAAAAGCTGTGAATAAGCACAAACCCATTGAATAAGCATAAAATTTGAAAAAAAGCAAAATAAGCATTAAAAACAGTGCATTTTTGAGATTCTTTTTGTCTAATTCGTCAATATTTTGAGTTGTCTTATATTTGCTTGTAATAATAACGAAAAGCATAATGCCTTGAAATCCGGACTCTAGTTATTAGTGTGTGTGTAAAGAGCGTTCACAGGTTAGTGGATTCCATGTATTTTGTTTTTGAGAGTTCAATTTATGCAAGTTCCTATTATTTTATTAATTTTTATGTATTTTTTGTGTGTTCATAACATTTTTTCATAACATGTGCATTGTTCACGTATTTAACAAAAATCGTTTCATGCTGTAAACAACACAGATAAAGAAGTAAATTAGAACTTAAGAAATTATGTGCTGTCTTTTTGTGCTGAGATTTTGATTTTGTGGATTTAGAGCGTGCATTAAGGCCTTGTTGAATTTACTTACATTTTCCTACCCTGACGAGAGAATATCCTAGCAAATTGAAATAATCAATCTAGAGGTATTGGCTCAAAAACAACTATAGCTGAGTAGCTTCCCGTATGGGACCTCAGTACCTGCTGGGAAACTGGCTAACTAACCAAAAACTCTTCAGTATTGAATATAGGTAGTGTTGATTGAAAGTTGTGTGTGTAATTAAAATTTTAGCACAAGAACAGGGGCGGTACCTAGTTTCAACTTTTATCGAATTATTGACTCACAATTATTATTAAAATTACACAGTATGTTCCGATTTTTAAGGAATGTTAGATCGAGAGTTTCTCTGCCGTGCTCTTTCCCCTCGTTAGTTCGAGGATGAGAACGGTACGATTTACTTGATATTGATAAAGTAGACGTTTCACAAATTTCTCTTTTCTTTTACATATCACAGCTTCCCTTAAATTTCCCAAATATTTGCTATGTCGGGCGCATGTCCAGTAAGTAAAATTGAGTAAGTTTCCACAACGTAGGTCCTATTTGTTTTTCATTTCATTTTTCAGAAGATTTGTTATTTAAAAGGTAGGTAATAAAAATTCTCATCGTTCAATCTTACTGAGCGAACCCGGGTATGTTATATTACACTAGACCACTTGGCACAAATAACTTTAATTAATCCGAAAATATTTTCAACGCACTGGTAATTATGCCCTGCTGCGATCCAGATGAATCTATTTTTACCAAACGGCAAGCTAAATTTACATTTGGTCAGATGTAATCGAACTTCGGCCACTTTCCAAAACAAATTTCAGTCCTGTAAAAACCAGAAGTTTCTCGACGGACGGGCATTTTCCGTAATTATAAGTTGAGCCAAATCAGTTTCGAAAACATTCAGGTTTTAGAGTTTAAATCAGACAAAAATATTTAGTAAAATGGTTGAAAAGGTGTCTTAAATCTTTCTCATTAAACAATTTTTGGTAATATTTGAAGCTCATTTTTTAGGATTTGTTTGATATAGCGAAAAATGACAAAGTGGGCAGATACGCAGTTGCCAGTGAAAATCTCAAAGCTGGAGACGTTATATTTGCCGAAGCTCCTTTCGCTTATGGACCTAAAACAGGTGACATTCTTCAACAAAATTATTTTCAATACTAACCATTTATTTTAGACAGTCCATGCTTATGTTTGGGGTGTCACACTCCAGTGGATTGCACCTACTTATGCCCTACATGCTTTTGGCCATTATGTGGACCAGATTGTGGAAATATGAAAATTCACAAGGATAATGAATGCAAAATTTTTTCGGAAGCAAAAATTAAATTTCAACCTGTCGAAGACCCCACTGATGTGTGTGTGCAGTATGAATGCATTACACCTTTAAGGTAAAGGATGTTTATATGAGTATTATTTTATAACTTGTATTTATATTTCCAATCTAGAGTTTTGCTAGAAAAAGACAGGAATCCAAAAAGATGGGAAGAAGAAGTGGCACCAATGGAAGCTCACACGGAAGAGAGGAAATCGAAACCAGTGTGGGAATTCAACCAGCACAATGTTGTAGAGTATTTACGAGGACCTTCTAAATTGGACAAATTTTCTGAGGAATTAATTCACCAGGTAAGAAACTAAATTAGCAATGCTGTTTTAGTTAATTTTACTAGGTTTGTGGTATTCTGGAAATCAACGCGTTTGAAGCCAGGACACCTAGCTGCTACACTATCAGATGCCTCTATCCAAAACTGGCTATAATGTCTCACAGTTGCGTCTCTAATATTCACCATGCAGTTGATTGTCAAGCTAATGGTGATTTCAACGATTGTGTGTAAGTTCCCTAACGTTATTATTCTATTAAATTTTAAGGTTTTTTTTTTTATAGTGTAACAGTTAGAGCAGCTGTAGAAGTACCAAAGGGAGGTGAACTGTTCAGCAGCTACACCTACTCTCTATGGCCCACTCTAGTGCGTAGGCAATTTCTAAGAGAAAGCAAATATTTCGAGTGCACTTGTCCAAGGTGTTCGGATAAAACGGAACTCGATACTCATATGAGCAGCCTAAAATGTCAGAGATGCGATAACGGTATCATTATGTCTTCTAATCCTTTAGGTAAGAAACAAAAAGTTTAATAAATGTTTTATCAAAAATACTATTTTAGATGATTCTTGTGAATGGAAATGCCACTTATGTGATTACAAAACCAACGGAAGGGCAGTGAGAAAAGTTTTTGCTGCAATCCAAAATGAAATTGATCAAGTTGAGTATGTAGGTGGGCCAGAAGGTATTCAACAAAGAGAAACTATTTTCAAAAAATACAGGTAGATATTTTAATATCAACCTAATATGATTATATAGGTAATACTTGTTATTGTAGATCAGTTCTTCATCCAAAAAACGCCTACATGACAATTCTACGAAGCGCTTTAACTCAACTATATGGAAAGGCAGAAGGTTACACCTTAGAAGACCTTCCAGATATAATTCTAGAACGCAAAATTGAGCTTTGCCATCAACTAATGGAAGTTTTGGATGTAATCGAGCCGGGTTTGTCAAGAATCAGAGGAATAACTCTCTACGAGCTTCACGGTCCGATTATGATCCACTCCAGGCACAATTACCAATACGGCGCTCTGGACAAGGACGATTTCAAAGCGAAAATGCAGCAGGCAGTGGACACTTTGGGAAAAGCTGTGGAAATTTTGAAAAACGAACCTGTGAGCCAACCGGAGGGTCAGCTAGGACTTATGGCGCAAACCGCTTTTGATCAATTGAAGGAGAACTTTGATATGCTTATTGAAACTGCATGAATTTTGTTTTTAGTGTAAAGAATTTAGTGTTTTTTTTAATATACCTAAGTATATGATTTTTGAACTGTTCTTGGTGTCTTTTTGAAATATTATTCATCAGGAAAGGGGCATTCAAAGCAATGCCCATGCACCCTAATCACGCCTACAGGACTGCCATGTCAACTTAGACGGCTCTCCAGAGTATTGTGACAAGACATGAGATGTCTCATAAGGAGATGGCTCTGGGTGTATTTTTAGATATCGAAGGGGCATTTAATAACACCTCATTCGACTCTATAAAAAATGCTGCAGAAAGCTTTGGCATAGAGAACATCATTTTCAAATGGATCTGTGTCATGCTGGAAAGCAGAATCATTACACGCTCGATTGGTAGTGCGAAGATCAGCTCAACCGTAGCTAGAGGCTGGCCGCAGGAGGGTGTACTGTCGCCTCTGCTGTGGTGCCTGGTACTGGATGGTCTGCTCTGCACTCTGAACGAGGAAGGTATATGTACATTTAAGGCTACGCGGACGATCTTGTCATCGTTGTGTCTGGTAGGGTATCCAGCATCATCAAAGGAATCATGCAAGGAGCTCTAAACATGGTCGAAAGATGGTGTAAAAATCACGGGCTTTCCGTAAATCCGGACAAGATCGAGATACCATTTACAAAGCGAAGAAACGTGGATCTGGACTTGTTCCGTCCGGTATGGTCAAATATCTAGGAGTCATCATTGTCATAGGCTGACTTGGAAATATCACGTCAACAGGGTTCGAACCTGTAGAAGATCCATCGGACGCACCTGGAGCTTACAACCCCACGTAGTCCACTGGCTTTAAACAGCAGTGATAAGGCCAATGATCACGTACGGGAGCCTAATCTGGTGGAACGCGCTTAGCAAATCCACTTACAGGGCAAAGCTGGACAAGCTACAACGACTTGCCTGCATGGCTACAATTGGAGCCTTAAGAACCACGTACCCCAACGCTGACATTGAAGGCCATACAGGGCATAATGCCTCTCCATCTCTTTGTGGCGGCACAGTCCCGGGAGGCTTCTGTCAGACGCAAGGGCGGTTTACTACTATACAGAGGCTATTCCATTTGGAAAAAAAAATAGCTATGGTTGTTTGAAATGTCTCGTTTTCTGTGGAGTATTACGAACACCCTGTAGAATGTTATCAGATTTTTATAAGACCATGAAGTAAATGTAAGTATGTACTAACAACCTGCAAAAGCTTTAGCTTATAGAATCTCCAATGAATGATGTTGGTTTTTGTTGACACATGCAAACTGCGACTTTTTGAAAAAAATATGTAAAATCTCTATAATGATCCATTAAAGTACTAAATAAAGGGTGTTCCGCGAACGACAATTTCATTGTTCCCATTTTTTCTCAGGAATCTGGACGAGATCTCTCATGCCTAGTAAGTATCATTCGTGATTAGGTTACTACTTGGCCAATCATCTTCATTTGGAATCTGTGGTGAATAATCACGTGGCGTTCAAAATTCCATCTCACCCCGGCCCGTCTCCACTGTATAAAAGCTGACAGCCTCCACAGTACCCTTTTTCCCTCTATCAAGCTCCTGGGGTGAAATTTAGCGTCGCATTTTTGGCGCCCAACGTGGGGCCCTCGTTATTTTAGGGCTGTACTAATTGTAATCTTTCACTTGTTTTATCTTAGGGAAATCTGATTTGATACTTCATTCGTCCGAGTATTGATTTTTTTTTTTAATAATAGTCACTTTGCATTGGGCGTCATTGGGCTTCCTTCTTGTTGTTATTATATGGTGAGTTGGGAGAATAGCACTCTACAGTATTTCCGGGTATTGATTGATTTACTCACGGTGGCGCGGAATTATATGCATATAAATCAGACGCAAGTGTGTGTATTGAGGTTTTGCTGCGGTAGTTAAGTCACATCAAGTGAGTGCTTGTTACGTGACTTAAGTGGTACTTAGTGGTAAGCCTGAAGTGAAATTTGACTGTGATAGTGCAGCTATAGCCTTTACCTCGGTTGGTTGCTGGCGGATTATAAATATACATACATACAGCTGTAAAATATTGTCTAAACTAGTCTAGTGATTGTGAACCGGACAGGATGTCTTGTAGGATGGAAGTGAATCGGTTGAATGAGGAAGAGTTGACATATGAACTAACATGGAGAAGAATGACCACTGGAATTGTAGATGAGATGAAGTGTCAGTTGAATCAAGCAAGACAGTTAGAAAATGCGGGTGATAGTATACACTATCCAGCTTAACAATTCACCTTCCAGAAAGACGCCAAGGCAGTTACCACAAAACTGGATGGGTTAGCAGAAGACATAGACAAATTTTGGGACACTTCTTAATCTTTATTTAAGGCTTCAGACAAAATTGAGCTACGTATTGGGACGATTAGATAATATTAACTGTACATCTAGTGACGAGGTTAGCTTACGAGGGGTGTTGGTAGCACAAACACTGACCCTCATGGATCTGTTATATACTAAAGCAGTACAGGTTGACGGTAGTAATAGACCGGTACCTCCAAATCTAGCGGCTCTCCAGGAAAGCCTAACCCAGATTCAAGGCAATGTTTCTCCTCAGGGCCAAGCACCGACCAATCTGGCTCAAGGTTTGCTCAGTCTTCTGTTGAGCTCGACTGTGATGGGTCAGGGGTTGTCAGCATCAGCGAGTGGTGGAGCTGTCTAAATGATGAGCAGTACACCTTCTCCTCCGGTATCTGTGAGTAATGTCAAGCCAATCCTCCCATACAAGTGGAATTTCAAATTTGCTGGGGATAATTTAAAAATAGAAAAGTTCTTTCGCATACCCCATTTACGGAGCACCCTGTATATTTAAAAATATTTTTAATTAATGCATCTTAGAGAATCAAACAACTTTGTAATTTAATTCTTTTTTCTTGCATCACCCTGTAAGGAGATATCGTCTGATATCGCACTAAGGGCGGGTATTATAAAACTGCTTTGACAGTTAACTTGAAGTTAACTCTTTGAATTACATGGTAATTCCAGAAGTTAACTTTAAGTTAACTCTCAAAGTAGTTTTATAATACCCGCCCTAAGTGGGATACATTTTTGCCCGAAGCGTGTTCTTTAAACGAATTTGGGGGTGGCATCCCAAAAAAAAATTTCGTCTCCAGCGTTGCGACATGTATGGACTGCCACTGGTCAGACTCAACGATTGGGGACAATGGGTTCACAGAGGGCTGATTACAGGACATGCAAGGGCCTGGACTGACACCATCAGGCAGGATCCCCTTCTTACCAATGCCAAAGACCTCAGCCCTTCCTAGACAATACAAGGTCGTCATCCCTGCAAGGAACGCTGGCTAGAGCCTGACCCAAACTTTCTCAAGCTGAAGTGGCTCATCCGGTACACAGACGGGTCTTTGACGATGGAGGGTGCAGGAGCTGGTGTATAGTATGGGGAGAAACTAGTGGCAAGAATTAGTCTTGCACTGGGTCGATACCCAACGGTATATACCAGATTGTAATCTACGCCATACAGGCATGAGCTCAGGAGAATCTCCAGAGAGGTTACTCGGGCAAGCATATTTATATATGCAGCGACAGCTAGGCAGCACTCCAAGTTCTTGGCTCAGACAAGGTCAATTCGAATCTTAAATTTGACCGTATAACTACCCTTAAACTACTGAGTGGGCTCAACAAGGTCACTCTTGTTTGGGTCCCGGGTCACAGGGGCATAAAAGGCAACGAAGAGGCAGACCAGCTAGCTCGTAAAGGTAGCAAGACCGAGCCTGCTCTTGGGGTTACTTCCTGTCTGGTGAAAGCCAAGATTAGTGACCGGTCCAACAACCGGATCCAAGACGAATGGCTGGAACAGGAAGGCCTCAGACACTCAAGGATCTTCATACAAGGTCCTTCAAACTGCAAAGAGGCAAAAAGCCTCTTAAAACTTAACAGGAGCCAACTGAGAGCCATCACAGGCGTCCTGACGTGACACTGGTTGGTCAGATACCACCTACACAAAATCGGACTCAGCAATGAGACGGAATGTAGGTGCTGCAGCGAAGTAGATGAAACTACCAAGCATAAAGTTTGCAAATGTGACGCCCTCGTCAGGCGCAGCCTACGATACCTCGGGTACAGCTTCCTGAAACCTGATGATATAAAGCATGTCCGGCTTGACCGGGTCTGCACCTTTCTCAATAATAAGGTAAGACAGAGGTCTGCACCAAGAGGAGGATACCACAATGGACCACATTCGCGTTGTACGTATTGCCTGTAAAGTTCCCCTTTCAAATCAATGAATAAACTACTTATCCGCATGGATGGGTGATTTAAGATCCAGGTACCATTCAATTTGTATCAGATAAACAAAAAACTAGCCAATCACATAGGAATAAGTTCCCACACGTATGATCATTTTATGGAATTCTATAATTTTAGTAAAAGCTCCTACTTACCACCCCACGTGTCAAAAGGCAACGTTGCTTGTATACAATATGTTCCTCCTCTAAAAGCTTCTCCGTGTAATGCTCGTAAATACGGCCGTGGTAAAGAAAGTCAATTCGTCGGTTTATGAGTGCTGAAGAAAGGCTGACAAATTGTTTTCTATCTGAAATAAAAAAATACCTACTAAATTTACTCAATCAGAACTTGGCTTTTAAGTTAAACACTCTAGACAAAAGTTATTCTATATAGATATTGAACAATTTCAGCGCAGCCCCTGAAATTTCTGGAAAACTATACCGCAAATCTGGAATATTTTAGTTGTCCAAACAATCTGGGACCGCGAGCTATATTTTATTTGGAGAATTACCTTTTCGGCGAAGAAAGGGAACTTTCAGACGGCTTAAGGCTGTAGTGGTTTTCTTTGGAAGTCATCGACTGAAAAACATTTCATTAAAATAATTCACACAAAACAAGGCTCGATCAGAAAGGTTTTTATGAATATTTTGAAAAAAATCTAGTTGGATTGGAGTTTACTTCACAGTTCACACCAATATCAAATATACAAATTATTTTTTATTTCTTATATTTATTTAATATTAAATACAAGCCTTAAGGGATCGTTACCAGCTGTTACAGACCTAGAGGGTTGTTTTCCGCTGAGACCGCCACCGTGTATTATTAATGCGGCTTATTTCCGCTAATCCGTATTAATTTTTGGGTTCTATATACGAGTTGCAAACTTAATGAAACAAAATAATCGAATCGATTTTGCCTCTTCATAGTACACAAAGAATTCTCGCGTATTTTACATCCGAACTTTGAGACCGAGGGTGAAGTTTCAATATTAACATAACGTATTATCGTTCAAAAATAATAAGAGTTATACTTACCAAAAGTATATGGCAGGTGTATAAAAGGGAAATAAGAAAAAAGCAATTCCCTTATATGCTTTAGATGTTTCATCCAGGGAGGTGTTTTGTTTCCTCCTGTAATGTTATGTTTATTAGGTGTAACATTTCTTCATTATTGTGATGTGCAGAGTGGGTATTTTTAAAAACCTTTATAAGTAAATTGAGTTCATAAAGCTTATCTCTAAATACCTTCTCCGGAACTGCATAGAGCAGAAAAAGATAGAAATTAATTAAATAATAAAAGTATTAAGTGTCAAAAAAACCATAACTATAATAAAGAGAAAAGAAAGCTGGCATTGTATATATACCATATTATACAGTTTCATGAAGAAAATCTATGATGTGGCAATATGTCTCTCTCGGGGATTTCCTAGGGTGGATTTTAACGTCGACCGGGATTAGAAGAACTCTTTTAATTTTAAAGAAAATAAATTTTGAAAGCGGCAAGGCCGTTCTGAAACTTTCTCGGTTCGGATGTATATTGGCCGGGAACGTAATGCAATGGGGTGAAAAGTTCGCTCGGAACTGATGAGGATTTTCGCTTTTTTTGTTTTTCATTTGTAGCCATAATCAATGGCTAAGAAACAATTAAACGAAACGCGGTTTAATCTAGCCGCAAACATTGTCAACTTGGCTAGAAAATGGACCATTATTTTAAACTTTAATAGCTTCTATAAATAGGGAGTAAATGAGGCTTTGCAAACTCCAAGATGTGTAATTTAAGGTTATAATTAAAATAATGGCAATAGTTTTTGGGTTTAGTAATCAACTTTCATTTATCATGATTTCGCAACAAGGTGTACAAACTGATTTATTCACTTTATATACATATAAATGACTTGATTTCCAAAGGGACCTAAGGCGCTATGTATACCCGAGGGTTTTAATAAATGGCCCTGCCAACTTTCATCACAACTTTGCTCCTTTTTTTTATATTTCCAGTAAAATGCCGGCAAAGTTAAAAACTTTACACTTTTTGATGGCAGCTTGTTACATTTACATTTTTTTTTGTCTCTCTACACTCTAGCGCTTATAGAGACGAAAAGTTTACCATATTAATGACTCGATAGTGATTCGAAGCTAATAAGTTTCACATTTTTAAAACGTACAAAATCTGTTTGGCCTTTACCAATTCTGGCATACAAGAACAGTTTTAAGTTATGGCTGACCGTAAAAACCGAATATAAAATAAATGTAGAGTTCTTTAGAGTATATGCCCCACTACTCATGGCGGCTTTATGGACCATTTTACGATTTTATCCAATTCGGCCTTTGATTTTAAAGGTTTGGTGAGAAGAAAATGTAAATGGGAAAATGAAAATGGCTCGCAGTGAGGGTTAACCTGTATTGAAATAAAACACAATTGTTGAATTCTCAACTGTGTGTCTTTTGCTTCTACAACTCCTGGAATAAACCTTTCTCATCTGAAAATCCGAAAATCAGTTTCACAGTTCCTTGAACTAAGACATATAGCAATATTTTGAGCTTTGAACTATAACTTCCTTTAATACTTCCCCTTTGATTTATGCAATACTTCTTAGACTGAATGATAATTTCAAATTCAAATATTTAAAAGCTTCTTCTTTTCCAAACTGTTGCTTACTTCTTCGAAACTTCACAAACTTCTTCAATTCTTCTGCACTCCTTGAGAAGGGGTAGAAACTTTCTCGGTTTTGCGTAGAAACATCCTCAGAATTTTCGTACTTTCTCGGACATCATTGAAACTTCCTTCAACTTCGTCAGATTTTCTTCTCATGCGTCCTGGAATTTCTCCAAATCTCTCCGATGTGGTCTAATTAAACTTTCTTGTACCTCGAACTATTACAAACTTCCTCAAGACTTCCCTCAATTTCTCATCTCTTCCTTGGATTAAGATGGAAACCGTCTCTTCATTATTCCTTGAACTTTCTGGGAAGTTTCATCAACAGATTTTCTTAATACTCAGTTACCCATACTCCAACATCTCCGGACTTTCTTTTAGATATTGTTAAGGGTGAATCAAATTTATGAGGTTTGTTTTGAAATTTGAAATTTAACAAAACTTCAAATTTCCACAAACTTTCTCTAAACTTCTCTAACTGCCTCTGTATTTTTTTTTTTTGGTGGATGTGTCATCTAAATTCAAAATTTAGTCATAAAAAAAGCCCCAAATCATGTCTATCAAAATCATTACAAAAATTAATTAATTACTAGCGTCCAGGGTACTCCTAGATAATCGACACCAACGCACCGCCAGTGGGTCACCAGAGAACATAGATGTACCATTGTTCATGACGTTTGTCAAAGTTGCATTTTTTGTATATAAATAGTTGTTAATTGTTTAATAAAAAATAAATATTAAACCAACAGTGGTTCTTACCCACTTACCAAACTTCCCGGGTGTACTAACCCAACCTACAAACAATAACTACCAAGTGTTCTGCTGAGCATCCTCCTAAATTCCAATACAGAAATTAACAGGATGTGAAAACCTTCCAGATATTTCCCTATCAGAAATCCCGAGTTTTTCTTTAGAAACTTCATTTTTTTCCTTTGAATGTCCTCCCACCCAATATGTCTCAAACCAATCAACTTAGAACTCAAAAAAAGAACACATAAAGCTATTATATCTGCTGTTGTAGTTGCAAATATCAACAATAAAATTTAACCAAACCTTGTATCTCATATAATAATCATTCAAGCACAAAATTTCTCTTTTTAATTGACCCGCGTATAGGCGTTCTTGTTGATGGTGGTTAACCATGAAACAACGACGTCACTAGTCAGGGTCAGAAAGGAGCGTTTATTTTGCTTTTTAGCGAATTAGTAGCAACAGAAAAGTCGATGCGGAATTAAGGCAAACGACGCAGGATTAAGTTTTATTTTTAGGATTACTGCGGCATTTCGTCCTAAATTTGTGTGACCGCGTTTGTGTGTTTTTTGAAAGTTTTAACATTAGGATTTAGGTAGGAACATAGAGGTAAGAGCCATTAGATGAGTAATTCTGCAATAACTTTTGTTAGTTTTGCAATAACTTTTTCATAATTGTGTGATAATTAAGTTGCTTTAATGTCTATTTTTACTTTTTAATTAACTTCGAACTGTGCATGGTCTCAATGTCAAAGCATTTTTATTGTAAATATTTAGATTTTGGGAATCCAGGCTGGGACTCTGTAACGAATAGAGATATTTTCTCTATCTCTATTGACGTCCCCTTTCTATTTCTATTGATTTCGAGAAGAGAGAAGAAGACAACATCAAGTGCCATAGCGATAGGGAAAACGATCTCTACTGATACAGAGTTCCAGCCCAGAATTATGAATGATATAATTTTCTACTGTAAATAAGCCACTGCATATTGACTGGAAATGTTTTGAGATAATCTTTGACCCATTCTATACAAGTTAAGATAAGCTTTTCTTTTAATACGTTGCATCGGAATAACAATCCTTTTGAAATTCCCTTGCACAAATTCGTTATGGAAAAACATCAATAATAATCATTCATATGTGATCTGGTTTAATTGGCAAATGAAGTATTCCTTGAAATAATATTATTATTGTTAAGGTGAGAGCATTAGTAAAAATAAAACTTCCTGGAAAAATATATGAGTTTACTTCGACAAAGAATTTATTTGTAATTTGTAATTCATTTTAAATGAACAATATCATTACAAAGATGATTGGGTTTAGTTTCTTTAGAACTTGCATGATTAAACTGTGTAAATATTTACGCAGTAATCCTCATGTTTTGTAGCAACTTAAAGATCAAGTTCACATTTTTAGTCAATTAATTGAACTTTAATTGGATTATATATTTATTGCATGGGTAGGTAAAAATGGATTGTTGAACAATCACCGCGGCCTACATGAATTACTACATAATTATAACAAATCAATAGAGGTGTTTGAGAGAAAGTGCTGCTACATTCAAAACATCTAAATAATTGCGATTTCATTCATATCCGCATTATTAAAATATTAAAGTTACCGGGATTGTGGTCCTCTCTCTAAAATCCTGCTGACAAAACGTCATATCTGGAAATTAGAAGAGGGGCCACAATATGCCGCCCCCCTTCAATAATAATCCTTATGAACCGGAACTTTATTAAAGTTAAGTTATTTAGATAGGGTCAGCCCGACATAGCGCACACCATCGTCGTACATATATATCCAGAGTAATCTGATTACGCACCATATCCTTTTGACGATCATTATTATTGAAGAAGGAGCAGGGACTCCTTTTAAGGTCCTTAAGAGGTTTTGGCGTTAACCTGCCAAGACAACATTGAAAGTTTAATGTCCTTTCTGATAATCCTGGAGAACTTTAGTAGTGGGCAATAATAGCGACCTGAAATTATTAGATTTTGTGTCGATCCATGTTGTTTTTGTATGAATCTTATAGGTATTTCACCATATAAGAGAACAAGGAAATATTGTACATTGAAAAGCTAAATATAGATTCATTGCTAATATTGAAGGTTTCATAAACTTCATTATTTTTTGTTATACACAAAAGGCTAAACATGGATTCATTGTAATGAATAAGTCAGAAAAATCTTAAAATTTAAAGGTCACACAAATTATTATTATTATGATCTTGTCGAATGTATCGGGATCCAAGTTTTTTTTTTTTTTTTTTACGGATATGCGCACTCGCAAGGAAATGTCTTATCACGCTCGAGAAGCGGCAAGTGCGCGGAAATGTCGGTGTATGTTGGTCTTGAAACGGTTCAGGTTGTAACCTGCAGGGAAAACCGTCGCAGGGAGTTTATTCCACAGCGATGCTGTTCTCCAGAGATATGAATTCTGATATAATGAGGTTCTTGGTGCCTCTAGTTTGACAGTAAATTCATGGTTACCGTCTGTTTGACGGGTTCGCCTGGTAGGTGCTACTCTCGGTGGAATCATACGTGCCAACTCTTCAGAGCATTTTCCGTGATAGTACCTGTAGAAGAGAGATAAATCGCCCACAGATCTGCGATGTTCGAGACCATCCAAGTTACGAGTAAGTGCGGGGTCATTGATCAGCTTGATAGCTCGTTTTTGCACGGTATTCAAAAGCATTAAGGTATGTTGGGTGCTGCGAATCTGGGCTTTGTAGAGTGTCAGCAATTGGCTTGGTGTGTACAGATGTCTTGTACGAAATAGCACCCCCAGCTTTTGGGAGGCCCTTTTAGCAATATCTGCCACGTGACTGTGCCAAGACATGTTGGTCTCTGCAGTAACCCCCAAGATGTTCAACTGAGTCTGTAATGTGACAGCACTTCCAGATAGCATGATGTTTGGCTCACCGGTGCTGGTCTTTTTTGAAAACAGAGCTGCTTGGGTTTTCTGCGCGTTGAACTGTACAAGGTTTTTGTTACCCCAGTCCTCTATTATCTCCAGGTCGTTATTTATCTGCGATATTTGAGTTAGTCTAAGATGATGGAATTCACGTGCGGAAAGACCTGTGGGTGGTATGAGTGAGGAGACTACATTGCCATCGTCTGCAAAGCAATAAAGTGGATTTACTGTTTTATCTATGAGGTCATTTATGTAAATCAGGAAAAGAGTTGGCGAAAGGATTGCTCCCTGTGGCACACCAGCATTTATTTGGTAAGAGTTGGAGTTCTGGCCATCCAGTGCAACATAAATGGATCTGTCCTTTAGGTAACTTTCAAACCAAGTGCAAAGTTTCGGCGATAATCCCATTGCTTTGAGCTTGTTGAGCAGATTTTCATGCCAAACTTTGTCGAATGCTTTAGATATATCTAAGGCAATTGTTCTTGTTTCACCCCGCAACTCAATCGCTTTTTGCCATAAGTGAGTGACGTATGTAAGTAAATCGCCAGTTGACCTATATTTTCGAAATCCGTATTGCTTATCGTTGATAATTTTGTACTTTTCCAAGTACTTGGTTAGGTGATTGTTCAGAACTCTTTCCATTACTTTTGATATCACCGGAAGTAGAGCAATTGGTCTATAGTTTAACGGATCTGTCTTTTTTCCTTTCTTTGGAATGGGTTGTACTGCGGCAGACTTCCATGATGATGGATATACTTCTTGCCTGTAAGACAAATTGAATAATTTTGCGAAAGTTGGGGTGAGTTCGTTGGCGCAATTTTTGAGTACTATTGCGGGAATGCCATCCGGACCCATTGCTTTGTTTGTATCCAGCTTTTTTAGTGATTTTCGTATTTCTCTGTGACAAAAGGGTACCTCTGGCATACTATGGGAAACTCTTTCAATGAACGGTGGAGTTTTTCCGTTTGGCACTGTTAGGTTGGAGTTGGAGGAAAACATTTGGGCAAGCATATTGGCTTTTTCCTCTGATGTTGTGGCTAAGTGATTATTTTTATCTGTAAGTGGTGGTATGGATGACTTGGTGAAGTTAGATCCAACAGCTTTTGCAAGAGACCAAAAAGACCTAGAACTACTTGGACAATTCAGCAACCTGTTTTTTATTCTTTGATTGTATGTTTCTTTAGCGGAGTCAATAGTAATTTTGCAACTATTTCTGGCTTCTATAAATTCTGTGTGATTTTGAGCGGTTTGTTGTCGTTTCCAAAGGTTATATGCTCTGTGTTTTTTCTGTACAGCCGTTTGACACTGGCTGTTGAACCAAGGTTTTGCATTAGCTCTACGTTTAGTTGTATGTGGGATATATGCGTCCATTCCAGATAAGATTACTTGTGTTATTTCATTACAGCAAATAGTGGGATCAGCTGTTTTAAAGCAAACATGGAAAATCCAGGTAATACTGTTTAAGGTCATTCCATTTTGCCGATTTATAGTGCCACATTTTACGAGGAAGTGGTTGTAGGCTTGGTGGGATGAGCATTTCGCACTTTGTTATTATAAGTTTATGATCGGACGAACCAAGTGGAGCATCTACTTGAATTGTGTACGAGTCAGGATTGGTGGTTAGGAACAAGTCTAAAAGCGCTGCAAATTCGCCCCTTTCTGAGATACGGGTAGGTTCATCGACAAGCTGCGTTAGACCACAACTTATGGCAAAAGCTTCTGCTTCTCTGCCTTCGTTATCTGTTTTGTTGTGGTGTTTCAGCCAGGGTATATTGTGGACGTTGAAATCGCCTAAAAAGACAATTTCCGCCTGTGGATAGTTTGACTGTATACTATCACAGCTTTCGGATAATGTCGCGAAAAAGTTTTGGTAATCGGTGTTACTTGGCGGTCGGTAGAGGCAGCAGATAAACTTGGTCGATGACTTTGAGGTGAATTTTAGCCATATGATATCAAGGTTCGCTGGTTCTAGCTTCTCCTCTCGATGACATGAAAGGTAATTTTTAATGTACACACAGATCCCAAAATTATGTCGAAATCGGTGGTGTAGGTCATAGCCGGGATAAAGATAGTTCACAATAGGTGTTGCAGAACTGATTTTAGTTTCAGTGAGAACAAGGATGTCAGGTCTTTGTTCTTCAAGATGTTGGTGAACTGAATTCATATTTGTACTTATTCCTCTTATATTGCTAAAAACAATTCTGAGTTGAGTTTTTGATCTTCTCTTTATATCTTTGCATGAAGGACCCCCAGGATCACCCGACGCCCGGAGATCCGAGTGGTCGGGTATTTTACCTCCGGAATATTTTGATCCTGGAGGCGCCATCATGCTATCTGTTACTCATTGTTGGAACCGGACTGCCAGCGCAGTAGCGGGACGTGGTGATACCACTTAGCGCTACTCAATTCTGGCATGGTTGTATCTCACCGGTCGACGCCCAATGAGTAAAAAGCGTCTACCACCTACCAAGTTTGGGTATATCGCTTAGATCTTCTCTTGTGAAAACACTCTCTTGTTTGGACAAACAAATTGGCACCTTTTTTCTCACCATTAAGGGTATGCAGTTAGTGGCTACATCCTTAAGTGAGAAATGTGTCAGTCTTGAGTTATGCTGCTTATCAGAAAAGGCTAGCAATTATGGTTCATATTTACTTCTAGACTGTTTTATCTTGGCTTTCAAGTAGTTATTTGTGAGAATTACTGTTAAGGTTTTCCAGTTTATCTTTCTGTGTAGTTGAAATCTCCAAAAATGAAAGTTGCTTGTCCTATAACCTTTATAAAATGCAGGTTCAACATTACAATGTTTTCTATGAAACTCTAGTCATATTTTAAGGTTTCACTGACCGCTAACCAACATAATATGACGTACAATTAAACACACAAGAAGTGTTATAGATTTAAATACAAAAAAAATAATGTTTAATTCGAGAAATCAGCAGTGGTGCATTTTCGTAACAGTATATTAAGTAGATAGGTGCATATATAGAATAAGTAGAGTATTCCTTAAAATTCCCAAGTGGTGCAATAACTTCAAACATCAAGGTCCTATGAAAATTTCATTTTTGAAGAGATACTCGCAACATAGACAAATATGTAGCGCTATTTTTGATGACATCAATAATTTTATTAAATAGAGTGCTCCTCCAGTAGGTATACACAGTATACGTCATCCACCTCTATTTCTAAGGTTCCAAGTTATTTAATTTATGTTAAGGCTTTTATATTGTGCGGCAATTACCGCCCTCTACCGGGACAGAGCGAAAGAGATTGATAGGCACTTTGAATCCTAAAGTGAATAACTCAATTTTATCAAAAAGGAGAGAGGAGAGGCAACTATAACGGAATTCGAAATTTAATGACGTTTGAGGAGCCGATGCCTCACGGAGGCACGGACTTTGAAAATTGCCTAATTGGTTCGTAATAATTATTTCAAGTTAATTTATAATATTCAGAGAAAAATAAGTTTTGTCGCGTTCAAGTTGCACATGATGAATCTATTATTCGCTAGAATTTTCAAAATAATCCATTCAAACTTTTCTGAATTTACTGGTGGCTTCAACTTTTAATTTAGTAAATGAAATTTCCGGATGCGTATCTAATATTTTTCAGTCGGAATTTTTTAAAAACATTTTTCTAATTAACTTATTTTCTCTATGGGGAAATCAGCATCTTATTTACCTTCAAGTCTAGAGTTTCTATTTAATTTCTGGTGAGGTTATATTTATTTTAAAAAAGATATTAAATTTTCAGTTTGATGTCGGCGAAGCTCTACGAAACTAAATTTCAAATTTGATATCGATATTTGCTTTTGACTGCTTCTCAAATATTTTAGTTGCCTTCGCGTACTTCGTTATATTATTTTCCACCAATTTTATTCATCATAGATATCGCCCTCCAAAAACATGAATATTTATAATGATTTATGTACAAATTGCTGAAAACTTTCTATTACATTTTATTTATAACTTTCAGATTTCAATCAATGCAATGAGGGAACTTTTGGGTCTATTAGTGATACTAGCCGCTCTCAATTTAGGAAATTGCTTTACAAGTAAGTATAAGAGTGTTTGATTAATTAGAGAGGGCTTTCATATAAAATAATATTTGAAATTTGCATCACGTTTCGTACCCTAAAATTTCCGTATACATATTTTGAAGCTTTAATTAAAACTTAATATTTACTGGTCATATGAATTTCTCTCAAAATTTCTATATGGTAATCTTTGAATTTGGCCTCTCATTTATACTGATGTGAACTTGGCAGTTAAAAGTTAGCAGCCAAACTGTTTTTGCAAATGGCTTATTGATTTCATGTTGCAAAGTTTTTTTCGAACATTTCCAGTTTGTGCTTTGCATGACGTAATTCATCTAGATCTATGTTATTTAGATGAATTGGATTCATAGATATCTTCTTCATTTGTTCGATTTCTTGTACACAGCAGTCGTCAATATTAATCTTGATGTCAGGAACGAAATGGGTGAAGTTGCTTGTTTGTTTTGAAGTCGAGGACAGAACAGTAGAAAAAGTAAAGCATTTGCAATGAGGCTTCAGCTACAAGATGCCAGATTCCGTCATTGTTAAGTGTATAAAGTTCTCGGTGGCATCACATGACAGAGTTGCTACAACAGTTGAAGAGACAATGAACAGCCATTGATTTGAATGAGGTCCGATTAAAACCGTATTCATTAATCTTTGGAATACTGCTGGTGCACATTTAAGACCAAATGGCATTCGTAAAAACCTATAATGTGCATTAGGCGTAGAAAAAGCAGTTTTTGGTGCATCTTCCAGATCCATTTTGATTTGGTGGAGGCCTGAGGCTAGATCCAGAACTGTGAAATAAGATGCATGTCCTAACTGGTCTAAAATTTCGTTAATATTTGGAATTGGCTGAACTTGGCCTACAGTGGCATCATAAGGCGACTACAATCCGCCATTTGCGATGTCCTCTGATGAATTAATTTTTTCAGGTACTACCCACAGTGGTGCATTATATGGGAAAACAGATGGTTGAACTATCTGCTGTTTCAACATTTTTTCAATTTGGTTTGAAATTTCAGATTCATGGACATTGGAAGTCCATAAATTTTGGAATGAATTAAGGTATCAGTAGTCGTATTTATTTTACATTGAATCGCTTGAGTGAATGTCAAGTCATCATTTGGTAAATAAAAAATATGGCTGAATTCTCGGCAAGGATTCAAAGCTGACAATTTTCCTTCAAAATTGAGATGCTCTAATCTGAAATTATTTTCTAACGTTGAAATGCGATCAACCGTGTGAGAATCAGACGTTTCTAATTGCGTAGCATAAAAAACGAAACAAGTGATCTTCGTGGAATTTCTCGAGTTCCACGTTGATAAAGTTTACTTGCACGGCTTTTTTCAAAGTGTTTGGCGATTGTAGTAACAGCAGTATTGTTTTCAACTTTTGAAATAGCTTTTGCTAAGTAAACTCCTAAGATTACTGTATCGCAACCGTAGCCTTCTTTTACTTGGTTACCGTTATTAACATTTATGCGTATTTTGGTTTCAGATCGCGGCTATGTAGGGTATAATTACAGTTTACATTGTCAGAAAATGCTTCTAAAAACTTGTCTTCTTACGATACTGGCAGATGAAATCTGGAACGATTGATATCAATCTGTATAGCATTTCGTTTCACTAATCCGATCCTCGTCGCCAAAATTTATTAAGTTTTTTTATTTAGGGAGAAGAAACAAGTCTCTTGGCATCAATTTATTCTGTTGTAACGTTTATTAAACAAATACACATCAAAACGTAAGCTATTAGTACTAAAACCCGATTAACAGTAATTAAGTATCGATTGACAATCTTGTTCGGAGGTTGATTCAAGATGATCTCTGAGGAAAAAGTTGTAAAATGAAATATAATATGGAAACTTAATGACTATGCTGAGTAAGCGGAATGCTGAATAAGCGGGTAGCTTCGTTGCAGGTCAGTGGCGCGAGAGTAGCAGTAAAGCAGTGGCGTAACATAATAATGGTATATCATGAGCATTACCTATTTAAAAATTCATCAAGTTTTAAAATCCCACGACTTAGGTATAAATTCTTGCCTTCTACACCTTCATACCTTCATAATCCCATACTGAATACAAGCTCAAATATTTGGGGGTATTCTTCTTTGTGCTCTATTGCCAGATGTTCAAGAACCGCATTTCCACCAAAACTGTCATGGTACCTATTTTTTTTAAATTTCAATCAACGTTGCTGACTTAAAATATTTATAATTACTCTTAATTATAAGTTAAAACTTTGAGGACCTTTTTCTTTCAAACGGTTGCGTTTGGACAGTCTTTTATGTTCAAAATAGACCATATTTTCACGTGCTGAAATCTTTGTAGCGAAACCCCCGCTCTCATTTGCCTTTAGAAAATGTAAGTATCCAATGAACCGAGAGTCGGTAATATTTAATCAAAACTTGCATATGAATAATTTGAGTTCTAAATACTGTGTGCCCTTTGAAAACATTATTATTTCTCGTAAAAATTAACTCGTAGAAAAGGATTTTTTTGTCTTACAAGAAAATCATTAATTTTATTTGCATCACATTGAAGGTCAAAGTCAATCTAATTTATACTCAAATTACTGTTTATGAGATGATGAGCAACACAATAATAGCAAACAAATTACAATAATATATTCTCCACTTATAGAATATGGCCGATCTTGCAAAGATATTGGATGTCCCAGTACTCAAGAATGCGTAATGGCGACAGACCCATGTTCCTACTACCAGCGAGAAGGGGATTGTGGATCGTAGGTATTTTTAATTTTTTATTGATTACAATATTGCGACAAACCGAGCAATTTTCAGCTATCCGACATGCAAAAGAAAATCAGGAAGCGGTACCAGAACATGTTCGAATTTCGTATGTCCTCCCAGTCAAGTTTGCAAAATGGACGATGGCACGCCGAAATGTGTCAATGATGCCTCAAAATGTAAGAGTTGTTAATGTTTGTAGAGGATTAAATCATAAAAAAATATTAAAGCAAAATATGACCGGCATTAAAGCTGATAACCTTCATTATATTTTTTATGAGCCTCTGTCTTAACTCTGTTTTATATAAAGTTTTACGAGAACGAGAGACAATGTATTTATTAAAACAATATTTTCAGCTGGTCATGTCGGCTACGACACACATTCGGCCAATGCGCCTTTAGAACCCAGCGCGCCACCTGCTGAAGGAGGAAATCTTTATCCTCAAATTCCCAAAGGAGAGACGACTGCTAGACCAAATATTAGGTAAGAATCTAGTAGGTGATGGTAGGATTAATTTGACATCTGAGTAGAACAATTTTCATCAATCCAAAGAAAATGGATTGCGCGGAAATCGAATGAGGAGTTGAAAGGGACAACTCAAATTTGAGTTTGGGTTTTTCTTGTTGTATTGGTTTCGCTCTGCGTGGGGCTAGCTGAAGGCGAAGGCGCTCTGTGTGGGGCTAGCTGAAAACGAAGAGCTATGGTCGTTGGGATGTTTACTATATTAGTGGCTGTTAAGCTGTTGGAATCTTCGGTTGATGTGGATGGGAACAGACGCGGTTGTAACTGGTCGTTTTGCATCATCGCTTGCGGTATCTCTAAGGATCTTGCTTCTCAAAACTCTGTTGAATTGTCACTAGAGGTTCAATAATTTGAAAACTATTGGGCTGGCGTATTTGTGGTTGATGCAATCAACAGTCTGGGTTTAGTAGAAAAGCAGGTATTACGGCTTATTTGAACTGCACATGTGCACAACCAAATTCAGAATAACGGCCTTATGAGGCAGTATTCGCTGCACACGGTCAGTGGTGTTGGTCTCGATACGGCTAAACTTGTACTGGCGAAAGCATCAATAGGTCCCTGCTCGGGCGCCAAATTTGTAACGCGCTAATTTTGTGTAGTCAGGGCGGGTTCTCAGTTAGGGTTTATTCGGCGGTATGTCTCGGGCGTCACCCTTAGGATTAAAGAAGTTGTGGGCCCACGTGCACCAGGCAGCTTTGTTACAGTGGAGAAACGGTTAATCAAGATTCGGCGAGTCTCCGGTATAAACACCAGAAAAATTAACTGTTTCCTGAAAAATTACTGAAAAATGTTTGAGTCAGGATATGCAATAAGACAGTGGATTAAACAAAATAGAAGCCCCTGTATTACGGAAAAAAATATATAAGTATACAGGGTGTATCAGGTATGAGTACAAATATTTCAACATGAGATAATATGGCCCATTTCAAGCTAAAACTGTCCTATTAATCATGGGTCAATTGTTAGTATTTTCGGAGTTATCGCAGAATTTAAATTAAGAAAAATGTTAACAACGTGACAACATTGTACAGGTATTATCTCTGCCAGGATATAAATGTAAATAAAACTGGTAAATTTGAAAAGTTTTTTTATGCACGGAGTTTATTTATTTCCATCTGTTTACGTTTTGGTTTGTTATTGGCTTTCAAAAAATGTAAATAATAACTTGCATTTTTATCACTTTTTTAGTAAAAATAAAAAATGTGCCGTTTTATTAAGTTGTGAATTGCACTCAATGACATTTTTGCACTAAACATTCAAGAGAAAAACCAAATAATACTTACTCAGCTACTTGTCAAATCCTTATTATGAAAATATCGAGGAAAATATTAATTGTCGTTAGAAGGTTCTCAAAACACTAAAATCAACGCGCAGATTTTGCACACTCACAACTCACACTTCCTGTATCACGCAATCTTTGTAAAACGGGCATAATCTTTCATCAGGTGGGTGATTTTTTTCGGAAAATCTTTCCCTAGTTTCCTTGTAAATTTTGGCCGCTAAATGAGCATTTTGCAACGTTTCTGCCTAAACAAGTATCTGCAAATTCGATATTTCTAAACATTTTATTTAAAAAAAAAAATTAATTTGAATTACGCGCGTTTCCTAACTAGACCAAGTCAAGAATCAATTTATTCAGCTCCACTAAGGTTCAACCTTCAACCACCTATTCTTTATTGTGCTGTGTTTCCAGATGCTTAGATACCCTTTTACAAGTGAAATTTGTAAGTTGTTTTTTCAAATTTTTGTTATAGTTGCATAATTACTTAATAATTGGATAAACTAAATTTTTCTACATCTCATAATGATTAAAATTTTCTTCACCTTTAATATATTCGTTAAAAAATGTCAAAACTTCAAAGGCCTTTTTCTCAAAAATGGTTGAGGTTGGACCCCCACTTTTTTTGTTCAAAATGGGCCATATTTTCACGTGCTAAAATTTTTGTAGTCAAACCTGATACACCCTGTATATGGGACGTCCTTACCTAGAAAGGAAGTTCTAAGGTAATAAAAAAACTATTATTATTAATTGAAATGATGAGAGAAAGCTATGAACGGCGGTGCGAAAAAGTGGGTGGTACAGACAATGAGATGCAGAGTTACCTAACTACTCTAAGCTGGCAAGGTGTCGAAACGGAAATGTAATAACGCTGAGCAGTAGTAGTGAAAATAAGTAGCAACAGGCAATAATGGTAAAAACTCCGGTGACCCAAGCAAAAATATGGATCCCGAATAACGGAAGTAGCCGTCCTCGTGATGGTAAATTTTTATTTCTGGCATACACTTAAACTCCTGGAAGAAATGCCTGTTCAGGGTACTCAGGCGAAAGACTCTCTTTTAGATCACCCGTCCGGGGTACTCGGTCAAGATCTGGCAAAAGATGTTGCCTGTTCAGGGTACTCTTACAGATAACCCGTCCAAGGTACTTGGTCGGTGATGAAAAACTTCTGGAAAGTCGCGTCGAACTCGGATTTGCTGGGTCTTGATCGGACTTAAGCATTGGCTGGTACTGCCTATCATTCGCAATTTTTGCCCTATTCATAGTCACGCGCTTAAATCTTACTGTACTGGGGCGAGTTCAGGAATGACACAATCAGTGTGAGTGTGACACCGGTGCGACGCACTAGCCGTTCATAAATGCTATAGACACACCGAGTGCGCGCACTCTGTGTCGTTCAGAAAGTACTTTGGGCGCGCTCCAGGTGTCGCACCGGTCACACCATAATTTTTTGGTGTGGCAGCGGTGTGATTGTGTCTTTATGTCAACAATGTCAACCATTCCTCCCATAATCTCAATAATCCCACCAAATATAAACAAATCACAAATAAGAATTAAAGTTTTTCCCTAAAACTAAAAAAATTAACAACAAAAAAAAGTAATCCTGATAGATTTGGTGAAATTTTTGAGGCGATGCTCGATTGGTCACACCAAGTGTTCAGAAATTCATACGAAAGTTGTCGCCTAAGAATTGTCATTTTAGTCACACCCATAAAATCGCACTCACACCCGGAGTGTTATTTCTGAACTCGCCCCTGAGTATTTAATTAATATTTCGGAAATAAATTAGAATAATTCACGGTACGAATGTAAAATTTAAGTAACTTCGTTACAACTCAATTTCCAGAAAGTGTGGAAAGATATACTTATTGCATCCTGATGATTTTTCTGGGACAATTTTCCAACATCAGTATCTACGGAATCATCTGTGCGTTCTTTTGATAGTTATGTTATTCGTGAAATAGATTGCCCACCAATATTATTTCCAATCCCGCAATTTTGATTCAGGCCGGTTGGTAATGGAGGTTCAGGCTATCAAGGAGGTCAAATAGGTTCAGGCTATCCAGGATATCCTCAACAAGGGGGCGGTTATCCACAACAAAATGGCGGCTATCCACAACAAAATGGCGGCTATCCACAACAAAATGGCGGTTACCCGCAAAACGGCTACCAAGGCCAAGGAGGATATCCACAGGGTGGTTATCAAGGCTATCCACAAGGTATATGTTTGTTTTTATTAGGTTCATCAAAAAAATTAATAACTGATACGTTTTTTAGGTGGTTATCAACAATATCCAGCAGGCTACAATCCTTATCAGCAACAGTACCCACAAAAAAGTTCAGGCAGTTCAATTACGGATAAGATCAAAGATGGCCTTAAAACTATAGGTACTAACTTCCTGAAAGACTATTTGTCTAAGGCTTTGAGCGGTGGAAGAAATTAATTTGTGATATACGAAAATGTTCATATAATTTATTCGAGATTCAGGCTATATAAACTGGTCCTTATAGATGTTTATTTATTCTTCTAATTATTGTATTTTTATTTGCAGGGTTATTCTACATTCTAGTAAGCTATTACCTAGGCAGGATGTTGCAACTGTAAGAATTTGTGTTTGTAATTAACTCAAAAAAAGACTGTAGATACAAAATACTCCTTATATTAACGGTACCTACTAAATGTGCATTTGTAATTTTGTTTTTTTTTTAATCTACCTCAGTTGGTTGTATATTTGTTTTTCTTTTTTTGGTGAGTATTAATTCGTTGTTTTATTCGATTTTCTTTTTGCTGTACATTGCTTCGGTGGTAGCTTTAAATGTTTTCATTTTTGCTGTAGAATAACCTTCACTGTTTTCTCCCTGTTCCATATAACTAACACTTTCTTTTAGGCCAAATTAGTTGAATAATCATTGTAAAGCTATTTTTTCAATAATCCAGACTTTCTGCAGTAGTATTTGGGATTTCGATCAATATGACCATGTTAGGTTGGCTCTTCAAAATTCATAAATACTGTAAGTTATTCCGTTTATTTAAAAAACAAGCTTCATTAATTATTATTGAGAACAAATTGTATGTTTATATTTACCTACATTGTTATACCAATTATTACTATTAAAATATTATTTTTAGAAAGATCTGTTTTAATAATATCAAACTGTCCACCATAACATCACGTTTCCTGGTCACGCTTTTATTTTTCGTCCTCTCGACACTGTTCATTTTTATATTCTCCCCAGAGCGTCCACATTTCAAAGAGGTCCTCGAGAAAGATTGGCAGAGTCAAAATGATAATGTTTTGCATTAAAAAGGGGAAAAAAGCCCCCTGGAAAGGATAGAGGAAAAGAAGTAGTCTCTTCACTTTGCCTGAGGGGCGAATAATTACGGACGATTTGGTAGTTGTGGAGAATACAAATAATGAGGATCTTTTTCCAAGGCGTATGTTTGCGCTCCAACGGACTTTTTATTAAAAAAGGGCATTTTCAAAAGTAAATTCTCTCCATTCGTGGCGCATTTTATCAATTTAGTTTCCCATATTTCAACGTTTACACGAAAATATGAAGTCGCCTACGGTAAATCTGAAAGCGAAAGACTGCAGAAGTTGTAGTTTATAAGTTGGAAAGTTGAGAAAAGGAACAAGGAAAAAAAGGGTTTTATGGCAACATCAATTTTTGTTTAATCGGTGGCTATAAAATGGATTTTAGCACTTTTATAAAATATGTTACTGGAAAATAAATTATTTAAGTACCAGCCAAAAACTTCACAAGAGTAATAAGAAAAACTCTTGCTAACATAAATAATCTCCTAGAAACTTATGTCGAGCCATAAAATGTCCATATACAGAGTGTCCGGAAATAAATGCAACAAAATTTGTTCCAAGGACTCTTCATAGATTTCAGCTTCAATTCTCACAATGATTTACTTTATGAAGCAATTACCAAGGTAGCTACCAAGTAGCTACCTACCTTATCATTTTAGTATTAAAGCTATGATTTGGATTTTTGAAAACTTAAAAAAAATCAAAGGTATATTTTATCGGATTTTATAGCTCCTTATCTTGAGCTATTTTTCCATAAAATTTTAGTATGTTGAAGCTAAACGCTTCCTTAATAGATAAAAAAAATATCTGGTTCCTCTAGGCTTCCCAGATTTCCAAGAAAAAAATCTTAGGCTATTGACTCTAAGCATAAATATCACTCAGTGTGTTTTAGCGAATTATAAAAATCATAGCTCCGTTATCCTGGGCTATTTTGCCATAAAATTTTAGTATGTTGAAGCTGAAAGCTTCTGTAATAAACAAAAAAATATTTGCTTTCGCCAGTTTTCCCAAATTTCCAGAAAAAAAAATCAAAAATTAGACCATTGACTCTAAGGCAGAAATATCACTAAGTGTGTTTATCGGATTGTAAAATTCATAGCTCCAGTATTTTAAGGTATTTTTTCATGAAATTTCAGTGTGTTGAATCTGGAAGTTTCTTTAATAAATAAAAAAATATTTGGTTCCCCCAGGTTTCCTAGATTTCTAGAAAAAAAATCAAAAATTAAACCATTGACTCCAAAGCAGAAATATCACTAAGTGTGTTTATCGGATTGTAAAAATCATAGCTCCGTTATTTTGAGCTATTTTACCATAAAATTTTAGCATGTTGAAGCTGAAAGCTTCTTTCATAAATAAAAAAATATTTGGTTCCTCCAGGTTTCCTAGATTTCTGGAAAAAAAATCAAAAATTGGACCTTTGACTCTAAGGCAGAAATATCACTCGGTGTGTTTTAGCGGATTGTAAAAATCATAGCTCCGTTATCCTGGGCTATTTTTCCATAAAATTTTCGTATGTTGAAGCTGAAAGCTTCTGTAATAACCAAAAAAATATTTGGTTCCGCCAGTTTTCCCAAATTTCCAGAAAAAAAATCAAAAATTAGACCATTGACTCTAAGGCAGAAATATTACTAAGTGTGTTTATCGGATTGTAAAAATCATAGCTCCGTTATTTTGAGCTATTTTACCATAAAATTTTAGCATGTTGAAGCTGAAAGCTTCTTTAATAAATAAAAAAATATTTGGTTCCTCCAGGTTTCCTAGATTTCTGGAAAAAAAATCAAAAATTGGACCTTTGACTCTAAGGCAGAAATATCACTCAGTGTGTTTATCGGATTGTAAAAATCATGGCTCCGTTATTTTGGGCTACTTTTTCATAAAATTTTAGTATTTTGATGTTGAAGACTTCCTCAGTAAATAAAAACATATAGACCATTGCAGGGACGCAGCCAGGGGGAGGGGGGTCGGTTGGCCCGGACTACCCTCAAGGCTTCAGAGAATAGAAAATTAATGAAGTGGACAAAATCTGTAAATTGCTCATATCATCAAAAGCTTAAAGGATAGTGGGTCTGTGTATATTTTTACAATTTCACTTGCATGGTCCCCCTAAGACAAAATGTCTGGGTGCGCCACTGATTGTAAGTAGAGCTTAACAGTTTTGCTGCAAAATCTAGAGCTGCTCTATTCATCATAATGAATGAATGAATGAAAGTGTCCTCCAGAAGACTGAACCCTTTACGGTTCGTGCCGGTACTGCCCCACACCATCTGGTGTGCGTTGGCATCGCATCCGACAATCAACGGAAGGCTCAGTGAGTTACAGTACTCCACCAAATCGATGAACTCCCGTGTTGGGGGATCATCTGTTGAGTCATAGGGCAGATAGGCCGAGCAAACTACTATCGATCTGCTCTGTCCCAGTCTGTCTAGAGTAGAAGAATTTCTTGTAGGAGGTATATCCCGATAAGTAGTTACTATGAATGCATCTTGGAATGCACTTGATGCAGAAGAAATTGCTTTTGTATCTTTTATAGTTAAAGAGGATGTTTTTGGTAACACCTTACACCGATATATCAAAAAAGCTCTTGAGAATAAGTGGGTAGAAGGATGGACAGTATGTAACGACTCCTAATGCAATCTACAATCTACTTTGGATGTAGAAAAAGCTATATCGACAAGGTATTATTTTCTTGAATGTCAATACCAAGAGGTGAAAAAGTGATAACAAAAGACATGCGAAAAGAAACAATGGAATGATTGTAATTCACACAGAACAGAAACCAGGAAATGATTATTTACGAGGCGATAGGTTTTGAAGAAAATCTATCAGATTTCGAGTCCCAAGCTTGATATCTGGAAAACAATCACATCCTCCGTTTTTTATTTTTGGAATTTTTATTCCCTAACATATACCACTTCTGATACAATTCCTCGTAATAGTTTTACTTGACCTGATACTTTTGGCATACTGCGTTAAACAATAAGACTAAACTTTCTTCGAATCAATTCTCAAGATCTCAGTTATATCAACAATCTTAATCCATCCAAATCTTATTCTTTTTATCGCTCCTTATCACAAGGGCATTAAAACTTTTGTACTTTGCACAAAATACATGGTAAATTTGAGGCGCAGGCGTTTATATACAGCCACCTAAAGGGCAACTGGATGCTGCTGGATTTTCAGTCAGTCAAAAGGGCCTGCTGTCGCTGGGCAGCGCCTCTTATACCTCGTTCGTTTTCGGCTTTCGTAGAGATCGCAGATCGGCGTTTTTGGTGGACGATAATTTTTTTTTCTCGAAATTTTCTAATAGGTGGATTGTTGGGTTTGGTGTTTCTGTAGACGAGATTTTTTTCCACAAGGTAATTTTGGTATTTATTAATATTATGCAAATAAATGCCCATCATAACACCGGAAATTATGTATTTACACATCGACATATTTTTTTAAAGTTGATTTTTTGAATTATGTTTTGTATGCAAAAAACCTCGAATTGAATTTCGAACTTTGAAATAGCATAAAATGGGATCCTTTCTACCTGTTTATTTATTTAATGAAAACAGTCCCTTTCCATTACAAATTCCTTTCATATAAAATCAAATAATTAAATGACATTTTAGTTTAAATTTAATATTTTTATTAAAATTATTATATGAAGCGTTTTATATTCGTTCTATTAAAAACCGTTCTGTTAAATACATATGTCACGGGGCTGCGGTTATTCGCGTAATTTATATTTCGAATGCAAAATTTCATTTATTCAATAGCGTCAAAGATAGCAATATAATATTAATTATTATATTATAAAGCATATCAATTTAGGAGAGAATTGTAGGGAATTGGAGAATAGGGGATTGATGCAAAAAATAAAAAAATGCCTCACAATCTCTAATCAAGTTTCTATACCGATACCTAAATATTTATAGAATGTACATAGAACATAAGTGTTTTTGTTTCTAATATTGTTCTTTTTTTTCATTTGAAACTTGAATAGTGAAACTCGTAGTAGCTCTATTTGCTCTTATTTACCTGATTTGTCGAATTACCCGATTGGGAATTGAATATCGAATTAGTTCAAACGATGATTGTTGGATTTTGTCCAAGTTTAGTTCTCTGTCTGAAATTTGATCCAGACTGCTATGAGATAAGTTCAGCAGGCTGGAACTTGACTAATTATTTGCAAAATTCTTGGATTTTTGTTTCTTGAAATGCCCTCCACTAAAGCTTGATTTGAAATTCATGGATTTGGTGAAGCAAACCTTTTTATCTGAAGTTGATTCGAGAAAACTTTCAAGTAATTTAGATTGGTTTTTAAAGGAAGACATTTATTGTGATTCTGCTTTGAAGTCCAGGATGGTTTCTGATTGACTTTGACGTGGAGGATATTATTGTTTTTGGGATTTGATTATCCTTGTGCGTTTTCAACTTCCTCAAATCAAGTCCATCCTCTTTAAACATAATTTAATATTTCTTAGTAATGGTTGAAGCATTTTTATTTTCATCCTCCTGCTAATGAAACAAAAAAAAATCCAAAAGTTAAAATCTATTTCTAGCATCAACTGAAAAGCGCTAAAGCCTTTTCATCAAGTTAAGCCAATAAAAACGAACGATCAAAAATGTTCTTTTTTTTTTACTCGATATTCTTAATAGGCTAAACAGGCAGCCAGCAGGGGCGTCGCGACGTTCCACGAATTGATTTCCTGCGTTGGAAGCGTCGGCCACGCTTCAGAAATTAATTAACGGTATTGAAGAACGTTTATTCAAATTGCTGAATAATTGGAGACCCTTGAGAATATTGGACTCTTTTTCTTGGAAATTGGC